AATTATCAAACCCAGGAGAGAGGTGGTGGTGCTATGGGAGGAACAGTTGGTGAAAGCTGGAGGGAGGCAGCATGTCTGGCCTTGCAGTAATAGGCCTTGGGCTATTGATGGTGATTCTGCCTTCCTCTTGTGGGATTAGAGGAGGTCAGAACATGTGGCCTCCTTGCTGTTTTAGCAGCAGCTAACTAGTCAAAGGACAGTTACCTTTGGGGTGTGGCCTGCTTCCAGTATATATGGAGAAACTTTGGGGAATTTCTCTACCCTTTTGGCACATTTTGGATCTTGCATTTGGCCGAGTCTTCATCTCCAATTTCTAGGCCTGAACCAGAGGCCTGCTGTGTTGCCTGCTAATCTTGGGGGATTGTTCCTTTTGACCTTGGGTTCGTCAGCTTCAGCAGCCAGCAGCTGCATGAGTTAGGAGAAGCCTCCAGCTCCAGTGGGCCTGGAACAAGAGGCAGAGCCCAAGGTTGACGGGCCTCCATACAGCTCCTAAAGCTGGCACTCTGAATTTGGACTTCTAGCCTCCTAAACTGTGAGGGAATAGACTTCCGTTTGTTAAAGCCATGCACTTGTGGTATTTCTATTATAGCTGCACTAGAGAACCAAGACACTCCCTCATGTTGCTGAAGTACATCCTCCAACAGGGATGACTGGGAGGTAATTTCCTGGGTACCTGCAAGTCTGAAAGGAGTCTTGGTGATGCAAGTGGTTAAACACTCAGATGTTAACCAAAAAAGGCTGGTGGTTTGGACCACCAGCCACTCTTGGAGTGAATACTATGGCAGTTTGCTTCTGTAAAGATTACAGCTTTGGAAACCCTATGGGGCAGTTCTACTCCATCCTGTAGGGTCACTATGGGTCAGAATTGACTTGATGGCAATAGGTTTGGTTTGGTTTTGCAAGTCTGAAAGGTTTTGTATTTTGTCTTTGCTCAGAAATGTGACTGCTCTGTTCATTGTCTTGTGGCTGCCATTGCTGCTGCTGAAATCTAGTGCCTTTCTCACTCCCAGATCTTTGGGCTGGTCTCTATTTGCCTTTATCTCTCTTGAGAAGCTTCCAAACTCTTCTGTCATGGGTGTCTTAAATTATAGGTGAGATCCCTTGGGGTTGGTCTGTCTTCACTCCTAGGCTGAGCTCTCCCTAAAACCAAAAAAAAAAAAAAAAAAAAAAAAAAAAAATAAAAAAAAAAAAAAAAAAAACAAAAAAAAAAAAAAAAAAAAAAAAAAACCCACTGCTATCAAGTCAGTTCCAACTCCTAGTGATCCTACAGGACAGAGCAGAACTGCCCCCACAGTGTTTCCAAGGCTATAAATCTTTATGGAAGCAGACTGCTACTTCTTTCTCCCATGGAGCAGGTGATGGGTTCAAACCACCAACCTTTTGGTTAGCAGCTGAGCATTTAACCATTGCACCATTAGGGGTCTTCCACTGACCCCACCAGGGCTCCTTTAAATGTATATGTGTATACATGTGTGTGTGTATGTGTGTACACACACATATATACACACAGAATATATAAACAAACCGAGAAACATCCTGGGTGATGCAAATGACATGCTCAGTTGTTAATCAAAAGGTTGCAGGTTCATGTCCACCCAGAGGGACCTTGAAAGAAAGTCCTGGTGATCTACTTCTGAAAAATCAGCCACTGAAAGCCCTACAGAAAAAGGTACACAACACCGCTACTCATCAGAAAAGTGCAAATTAAAACCACAATAAAACACTACTACTTACCCACTAGAATGGCTAGAATTAAATAGACTAATTGACAATAGCAAGTGTTGATAAAATGTGGGAAAACCAAATCTCTCATGGATTGCTAGTGGGATAAACTGGTCCAAGCACTTTGGAAATCTGTTTGGCAGTACACATCAAAGTTAAACACAATATAAGCTTTCCAGTAATATATCAGACAGTGTTTCACTGCTATTCATAAGGTTTTCAGTGGCCAGTTTTTTCAGAAGGGAATGGCCCTCTCCTTCATCCAAAGCTTGGTCTAGAGGCTCCACTGAAACCTGTCCACCATTTTGAAATATCAGTGGCATAGCCTCCAGCCTCACAGTAACATGCATGTATGACAGACAGGCAGACGAGTGGTGGAGTTAAACATACACCTGCCATATAATCCAGAATTGCCAGTTCTAGACATATATTCAAGAAAAATGAGTATCTATGTTCACCAAAAGGTATTTATAACAATGTTCATAGTATAGGCAAACACTGGAAACAATTAAATGTCCATGAACAGCAGAATGAATATATACATTGTAGCATATTTATACTACATAATAATAAACTACAAACTGCTAATAAATGTATCAACATGGATGGATCTCAAAAATATTATTGAGGAAAAGAAGTCAGACACCAAAAAAGCATATATTGTACAATTCCATTTACATAAATTTAAAGAAAGGAAAATTAATCAATGATGATAGAAATCAGAATAGTGTTTAGCTGGGGTGAAGGAAGGTATTAAGCATATATGGGCACAAGGGAACTTTCTGGGTGAAA